TAAATGATCAAGTTCGATAATCTTTTTATTCATCATATTTATAATGTAATATGGTGTAATAGAGTTAAAAACTTTCAGTATTTTTCTTCTTCTTTATCACTCAATTTTAGGTTTCTTCATCACTAAGAAACCAAGTTAAAAGACTATAAATCAATGACACATATTTTTTTTATATATTGGTAATAATTAAAATTAAATGATCAAGCTAGATTTTATTTTCATTCACCATATTCTCATTATATTATGGTATAATATATGTAAAAAATTCCAAAAGATTGTTTCTTCTCCGTCACCAAATTTAAGGTTTCTTCATTAATAAGTAACTAAGTTAAATGACTATAAATTAATGACACATATTTTATATATATTGGTAATAATTAAAGTTAAATGATCTAGCTCGATATCATTTTTGTTCACCATATTTATAATGTAAAATGGTGTAATAGAGGTAAACACTTTCAATATTTTTCTTCTTCTTTATCACAAATTTTAGATTCCTTCATCACTAAGAAACTATGTTAAAAGACTATAAATTAATGACACATATTTTTTATATATTGGTAATAATTAAAATTAAATGATAAAGCTCGATATTATTTTTATTCACCATATTCACATTATATTATGGTATAATATATGTAAAACATTTTAAAAGATTGCTTCTTCTCCGTCACCAAATTTTAGGTTTCTTCATCACTAAGTAACTAAGTTAAAAGTCTTTAAATTAATGATACATATTTGATATATATTGGTTATAGTTAAAATTAAATGATCAAGCTCAATATTGTTTTTTATTCACAATATTTATAATGTAATATGGTGTAAATAAGGTAAAATATTTCAATACTTTTCTTCTTCGTTATCACCAAATTTTAGGTTTCTTCATTACTAAGAAACTAAGTAAAATGACTATAAATTAATGACACATGTTTTATATATACCGGTAATAATTAAAGTTAAATGATATAGCTCGATTTTGTTTTTATTTACTATATTCACATTATATTATGATATAATGTATGAAAAATATTTACAAGGTTTTCTTCTTCTCCGTCACAAAATTTTAGGTTTTTTCATCACTAAGGAACTAAGTTAAAAGTCTTTAAATTAATGATGCATGTTTGATGTATATTTTTTATAATTAAAACTAAATGATCAAGTTCAATAATCTTTTTATTCACCATATTTATAATGTAATATGGTGTAATAGAGTTAAAAACTTTCAATAGTTTTTCTTCTCCCTTATCACCAAATTTGAGGTTTCTTCATCACTAAGAAACCAAGTTAAAAGACTATAAATCAATGACACATATATTTTATATATTGGTAATAATTAAAATTAAATGATCAAGCTAGATTTTATTTTCATTCACCATATTCTCATTACACTAGTGCAGAAATGACTTTTTACATCGGGTGAAACTAACTTTTTACATCGGTTCTGGGTCCGATGTAAAGTCAGGCGATATAGTAAATCAGGGACTTTTTACATCGGTTCTGGGACCGATGTAAAAAGTCTCTTTTTTACATCGGTTATAATATAAGAACCAATGTAATAAACTGTTATTATGCACATTTTTAAAAAAATTGATCCAGTTTTTTACATCGGTTGTAAGTAATACCCGATGTAAAAAGTCTCTTTTTTACATCGGTTATAATATATGAACCGATGTAAGAAACAATTATTATGCATATTTTTTTAAAAAAATTGATCTAGTTTTTTACATCGGTTGGAAGTAATACCCGATGTAAAAAGTCCCCAGTGACACAACTTTTTACATCGGTTATTATCCCCAACCGATGTAAAAAGTCCCTTTTTGAAAGTTTTTACATCAGTTTTTACTAATAACCGATGTAAAATGTATGAAATTTTTTTGGAATAGATTATTTATTTTCTGGATGTTTCTCTGTACAAATATAATTTGTACCCATTTTTTCATATTTTTCCAATATCACACAAACTATATTTATGTCGCTATATAGATTTCATAGCTTTCCAACATCACATATATCACATCTAGGTCGATGTTTTCATATTTTTCACAACAAACTTACAAATTGAACAATTGTATTGCAAACTTGTATTGTATTACAACAAACAAACTTACAATTACAAATTCTTCACAAAATATACAACAATATTCAACTATTTATAAGTCTTTTTTCAAAACTTACAATTACATATTATTCACAAAATATACAAAAATATTCAACTATTTATAAGTTTCCAAACTTAAATTACCAATATAAAATCTTCGGTAGACATAAAATCCAATGAAGCTAACATAAAATCCAACAACCTTGTTTGAATAGGCCCAACTTTGAAATGCATAACAGTTTCTGTCCAAGTCACTCTTAACACAACATTTAATGCCTGCATTTTGATATCTCATAATGTTTTAATTAAAAGAAACAAGTATATTCTAAAAATAATTTAAACATTGAAACTAAAAAGAGGTAAATGGAAATTACCATAGACATGTAGTATATGCTTTTATTCTTCAAAACTAAATCATCTCTTAGCCATGCATTTCTTGAGTTAGGATTAAGAAATCCCCAATCTTTGACAAAATCCCAATACAGTTGATACATTGTAGATGTCACAGATGTGATTATAACAATAAAAAACATTATATTGTTATCTTGTCTTCCATATGTTACTCTAGCTCCTGCTGCAACCATTGCAGAGATATACTTCCCCATGTTCGCCAAATGCGCAACATCACTGTCATCATACCATCTTCTTACACACTAGTATTCACATTCAAATAGTAAAATTTAATTTAGTAATGTTAATAGAAAGTTTAGAAATATAGATTAGTACTAAACATTAAGGGCGTATTAATATACCTGAAGGGCACGCCAAAAATATGGCAAAAATGAGATAATGTAGGTTATTTCCATGTATAATCTTCCGGAACTACAGGTTTCAGGGTGGTGCGTTTTGAAAACCCGGGATAAAATGTGACAACTTGTTGTTTCCAAATGTCTTAGCAATGGTATCTGTATACGATGATATACAAAAAATGTTATTAAGAAGTGTAACGATAAACAAAGGAAAATAATAGGATAAATTCGTTGAAGGATAAAAGATTTTACCTGACTAGTTAGTTGATCAGCCATAAAAAAATCCATCAGAAGAACCTGTAGGAATAGTAAATCGAATCAAACAATTAGAACTTTCATTTTGTACACATGAAGTATGTTATATCGTTATCAATTTATCTAATTGTTCGAAAAAAGATAGTATAAAGAAAATATACCTTATAAAAAGGAGAACAGATAATGTTACGAATAACGCGGATGAAGCAGAATCGAGTTGGACGATAGAAAATGTCTAATGGGCAAATGAGCATAGCTATGAAAAACTGAAAAAAAATACAGGTAGTTCATAAAGTGTTAGCTCAATGATAAAAGTTTGATATTATAATATGTAGCATCAAACAACAAAGCTCAAATTTCATCAAAAAACTAACCGGAAGTAGAATTCCGGGAATGGCGTCAACATTGCCAGGAAAAAACCCCGCTGCCCTTAGAAGAAGGTGCAAGACCATCGCTCCAACCACAGCAGTCATGAAGACAGTACAAATCAGAAAAGCATCTCTATGCTTTAGCGCCGTGGTCGGCGAGAATTCAAATATGAAATTATGATTTATTCTTGTCGCTTCCCACATATATAAATTGCATCCGTACATAAACAAGTGTAGACTAAACAATGCAAATACACTGCATAATATAAAAATCATTGTAACCATTAAATTAAGAACCTCATAAAATTTATATTGTTTATATAAAATAAAATAAAATAAAATCTAGGAACTATGAAATGTTGCACCTGAAAACAGGATAAACTGCTTCCATATAAGCTGGTTCTGTGTTAGGAGAGAATATTCCACACAAGTGTGCCAAGATTGCATAGACACAAAACAATGATACAAAACAACCCGTGCATAAACCTGTATGTAGTTGAAATAAAATTGTTAAATTAATTTAAATTTTAAGATGACTATATTATTAAAAAATTTATTGAATATATAAATTATATAAATAGTTGAAGTTATTACCGACAAAGAAAGTGACCATATGAAAGTGACCATATGAGAACCTTTCTGCACTTGAGGTTTTAAAAACTTCATTGCTTTTTTTCTATCATTGCTAGTAAAGTTCTTTGTGAAAATGGATTCCACTTCATCCATTAGTCTAACAACCTTTAATAATGACAATAATAATCAAAATACTATATTAATATACAATTAATTAACCATTAATTATTATATTTATAACATAATGTTAATATATAAAATGAAATACCTTATCTGAACTGATGAAATGTGATCTTTTCACTGTTTTTAAGTAACTAGCAGAAGCTGTTTGGCATGCTACCTGGTAAATAGAGATATAAATTTGTTGTAAATTTTTTTATGTACTTTTACATGTTCTTTTTTGTGTACATAGAACATGTGTAGATATTTGAAGTCATACCTTGTCAAACTTTTTGAGGATCTTTGAAAATGCAACTATATTCAGTGAGCTGCAAAAATGAGAGAATTTGGCAAGTGCTTATGTTAATTTGGGTAAAGTCTATAACCAATTCAATGAAACATACATAAAAAATAAGTTACTTTGAGAAATGAAAATTTTAGATACGTTGGTGAACTAACAAGTTTGTTATCAACACGTTATTTCTCTTACTTTGAGAAATAAATAATTATACCTGTAAGTTTTGAGAAGGCCAAGACCTTTATAAAGCTCAACAAAAGCACTTCTAATCATCTTCTCAGCATATTGGATTTTTCTCTTATTAATAAACTCACCATACCCATCTTTTACAGGACTATTCACTAAATCTTCCCACAAAATGGAAGTAACAGCTGTGATAGCTTTTGTTGGAGTGGTGGCCGGAATATCGATCCTCATTGCCGTTTTAGGCTTTCCTTTTTTCGTCTTAACTCTCGTAGCCGAGTTCACAAAATTCACACCATTTTTCGCTAATGTCGATATCACTTCATCCATTTGCGAATTTTCTGAATTTGTTTCATCTGATTCTCCACAACTTTCTGTAAAAAATAGTTATAACGGTTTATTTGTTGCTCATGTATATATAGAGAAAAAACATTAATCATAACACATACGAAATTTATATTTTTGAAATGAAGATTGACAAATACTTCCAAAAAAAATAAGTTAACATTACCTCTCTTGGCATAAGTGTTTTTGGAATCACTCTGAAAAAACAAGATAAAACAAAGTTAGTCTAACAAAATACATCAAATCAAATGCAAGCTCAAAATCATACTAAATTCGTTGATATTACTATAAAAATAAAATTGTGATTCTGACAAATTTACTGTCAATTTAAACATGCACGATATGATCGAAAAAATGACGAAACTATCGACTCACCCAATTACATGTCGACCGCCGTCGTAAACAGCTTGAGAAACCAACCCCATCAAACCAATGCTGCCTCCTCCATAAACTAAATCAATATTTCTTGAAACCTTATAACATATCAAAATACAAAAATCTCAAAAGTCATATTGATAATATATATACACATGTATTTATATAGAATAAGGACTAAAGTAGTAATTTACCAATTCTCTTCCAAGTTCAATAGCAGCATCTTTATAGCTAGTTTTATTACCAGGACTACTACCACAAAACACACAAACTCTGTTAAACTTTGATAACTCTCTCTCCATTATCTCTCTCTCCATTATTTCTCTCTCTCTCTCTCAAAAATGGATGAGTGGTTGATGGTTTATGGTTTATGGTGCATATATATAACGGCAAAAGGAACACGTATTCATCACCACCGCATCATTAAACATGACAATGACATGTCTATAGGGAACCAAAGAAAAACTTAATCCAATGTCTTATGTTTTTGTGTGTTTTCTACTTTAATTACTATGGTCCCCTTCTATCACCATTCATTCAAAAAATAAATAAATCTAATATGTTGCAAAGTAGATCTCACGCTTTTGTTTTATACCTATGCCATATGTGTTTTGCTTCTTAGTTGAAATGAGTTCAAACAATGATTTTGACAGCAACACAGTTCAATAACCAATTTATCACAATCAAATCAAAGTTCACAGAAATTATCACAGAACAATCAATAATATAATGAAGAGTTACCGAACAGTTTGCGAAATGTCGAATGTTGGAGACGCGAAGAGAAGCGGCGGCAGATAAAAGGAAGCGGTTGAGAGTGAGGCGAGAGGATGAAGAATGGTGAGGCGGAGAATGTTTGAAGGCGGTGTGAGAAGAGAGGAAGGGAGGTCGCGCGAGAGGATGAAGAATGGTGAGGCGGAGGATGTTTGAAGGCGGTGTGAGAAGAGAGGAAGGGAGGTCGCGCGAGAGGGACCGACGGCTGAGGTTTGGCGCGATGGTGATAGTGAGCGGCGGCTGAGGTTTGGTTTGAAACGGCGGAAAAACGAACGGAAATGGCGGTCGAAAACCTTCGGAAACGGCGGTCGATGATGGTGGCTGGGAAACGGCGGTGGTTGGATCGTGAGCGTGAGCGTACAGTGGCAAGGAGTGAAACGGCGGTGGTTGGGTCGTGAGCGTGAGCGTAGAGTGGAAACGGCGGCCAAGGAGAATATTATACAGTGGAAATACTGAAATTTGTGAAATAAGGGTTTAACAAGCTATTACCTCGGTGGAATAGGATAACCGATGTAAGGGTTGGTTTAGTGGACAACCTATTACATCGGTGGAACCTTACAACCGATGTAAGGGTTTTGGCTTTTTTACATCGGTCCATTGTAATAACCGATGCAAGCTGATTTTCTGGCTTTTTTACATCGGTTTATACTTCAACCGATGTAATAAGTTGCGAAAAAATTATTTTATTCTTTAATTTATTTTTTATATTAATATCTGTTGTGAAGATATTACATCGGTTTTTAGTCAACCGATGTAATATATTGCATGTTTTTTTTTAATATTTCTACTACCTTGTTTCTTATTTACAAAAATGCCACCGTATTTTTTTCTGAAAACTTTTTACATCGGTGGATGCGTTTGCCCGATGTAATAGGTAGCGAAATATATATTTTTTCATATTTTTTATATCATTGGAAATAAATACCTGATGTAAAAAGTTTGTTAGTTGTATTTTTTACATCATATATTTTGATACCCGATGTAAAAACCTTTTCTCAAATGTCTTTTTTTTAGTAGTGTTATATTATGGTATAATATATGTAAAAATTACAAAAGATTGTTTCTTCTCCGTCACCAAATTTAAGGTTTCTTCATTATTAAGTAACTAAGTTAAATGACTATAAATTAATGACACATATTTTATATATATTGGTAATAATTAAAGTTAAATGATCTAGCTCGATATCATTTTTATTCACCATATTTATAATGTAATATGGTGTAATAGAGGTAAAAACATTCAATATTTTTCTTCTTCTTTATCACAAATTTTAGGTTTCTTCATCACTAAGAAACTATGTTAAAAGACTATAAATTAATGACACATATTTTTTATATATTGGTAATAATTAAAATTAAATGGTAAAGCTCGATATTATTTTTATTCACCATATTCACATTATATTATGGTATAATATATATAAAACATTTTAAAAGATTGCTTCTTCTCCGTCACCAAATTTTAGGTTTCTTCATCACTAAGTAACTAAGTTAAAAGTCTTTAAATTAATGATACATATTTGATATATATTGGTTATAGTTAAAATTAAATGATCAAGCTCAATATTGTTTTTTATTCACAATATTTATAATGTAATATGGTGTAAATAAGGTAAAATATTTCAATACTTTTCTTCTTCGTTATCACCAAATTTTAGGTTTCTTCATTACTAAGAAACTAAGTAAAATGACTATAAATTAATGACACATGTTTTATATATACCGGTAATAATTAAAGTTAAATGATATAGCTCGATTTTGTTTTTATTTACTATATTCACATTATATTATGATATAATGTATGAAAAATATTTACAAGGTTTTCTTCTTCTCCATCACAAAATTTTAGGTTTTTTCATCACTAAGGAACTAAGTTAAAAGTCTTTAAATTAATGATGCATGTTTGATGTATATTTGTTATAATTAAAACTAAATGATCAAGTTCAATAATCTTTTTATTCACCATATTTATAATGTAATATGGTGTAATAGAGTTAAAAACTTTCAATAGTTTTTCTTCTCCCTTATCACCAAATTTGAGGTTTCTTCATCACTAAGAAACCAAGTTAAAAGACTATAAATCAATGACACATATTTTTATATATATTGGTAATAATTAAAATTAAATGATCAAGCTAGATTTTATTTTCATTCACCATATTCTCATTATATTCTGGTATAATATATGTAAAAAATTACAAAAGATTGTTTCTTCTCCGTCACCAAATTTAAGGTTTCTTCATTACTAAGTAAGTAAGTTAAATGACTATAAATTAATGACACATATTTTATATATATATTGGTAATAATTAAAGTTAAATGATCTAGCTCGATATCATTTTTGTTCACCACATTTATAATGTAATATGGTGTAATAGAGGTAAACACTTTCAATATTTTTCTTCTTCTTTATCACAAATTTTAGGTTCCTTCATCACTAAGAAACTATGTTAAAAGACTATAAATTAATGACACATATTTTTTATATATTGGTAATAATTAAAATTAAATGATAAAGCTTGATATTATTTTTATTCACCATATTCACATTATATTATGGTATAATATATGTAAAACATTTTAAAAGATTGCTTCTTCTCCATCACCAAATTTTAGGTTTCTTCATCACTAATTAACTAAGTTAAAAGTCTTTAAATTAATGATACATGTTTGATATATATTGGTTATAGTTAAAATTAAATGATCAAGCTCGATATTGTTTTTTATCCACCATATTTATACTGTAATATGGTGTAAATAAGGTAAAATATTTCAATACTTTTCTTCTTCTTTATCACCAAATTTTAGGTTTCTTCATTACTAAGAAACTAAGTAAAATGACTATAAATTAATGACACATGTTTTATATATACTGGTAATAATTAAAGTTAAAAGATATAGCTCGATTTTGTTTTTATTTACTATATTCACATTATATTATGATATAATGTATGAAAAATATTTACAAGGTTTTCTTCTTCTCCATCACAAAATTTTAGGTTTCTTCATCACTAAGGAACTAAGTTAAAAGTCTTTAAATTAATGATGCATGTTTGATGTATATTTGTTATAATTTAAATTAAATGATCAAGTTCGATAATCTTTTTATTCACCATATTTATAATGTAATATGGTGTAATAGAGTTAAAAACTTTCAATAGTTTTTCTTCTTCCTTATCACCAAATTTTAGGTTTCTTCATCACTAAGAAACCAAGTTAAAAGACTATAAATCAATGACACATATTTTTTATATATTGGTAATAATTAAAATTAAATGATCAAGCTAGATTTAATTTTCATTCACCATATTATCATTATATTATGGTATAATATATGTAAAAAATTACAAAAGATTGTTTCTTCTCCGTCACCAAATTTAAGGTTTCTTCATTACTAAGTAACTAAGTTAAATGACTATAAATTAATGACACATATTTTATATATATTGGTAATAATTAAAGTTAAATGATCTAGCACGATATCATTTTTATTCACCATATTTATAATGTAATATGGTGTAATAGAGGTAAAAACATTCAATATTTTTCTTCTTCTTTATCACAAATTTTTGGTTTCTTCATCACTAAGAAACTATGTTAAAAGACTATAAATTAATGACACATATTTTTTATATATTGGTAATAATTAAAATTAAATGATAAAGCTCGATATTATTTTTATTCACCATATTCACATTATATTATGGTATAATATATGTAAAACATTTTAAAAGATTGATTCTTCTCCGTCACCAAATTTTAGGTTTCTTCTTCACTAAGTAACTAAGTTAAAAGTCTTTAAATTAATGATACATATTTGATATATATTGGTTATAGTTAAAATTAAATGATCAAGCTCAATATTGTTTTTTATTCACAATATTTATAATGTAATATGGTGTAAATAAGGTAAAATATTTCAATACTTTTCTTCTTCGTTATCACCAAATTTTAGGTTTCTTCATTACTAAGAAACTAAGTAAAATGACTATAAATTAATGACACATGTTTTATATATACCGGTAATAATTAAAGTTAAATGATATAGCTCGATTTTGTTTTTATTTACTATATTCACATTATATTATGATATAATGTATGAAAAATATTTACAAGGTTTTCTTCTTCTCCGTCACAAAATTTTAGGTTTTTTCATCACTAAGGAACTAAGTTAAAAGTCTTTAAATTAATGATGCATGTTTGATGTATATTTGTTATAATTAAAACTAAATGATCAAGTTCAATAATCTTTTTATTCACCATATTTATAATGTAATATGGTGTAATAGAGTTAAAAACTTTCAATAGTTTTTCTTCTCCCTTATCACCAAATTTGAGGTTTCTTCATCACTAAGAAACCAAGTTAAAAGACTATAAATCAATGACACATATATTTTTATATATTGGTAATAATTAAAATTAAATGATCAAGCTAGATAGTATTTTCATTCACCATATTCTCATTATATTACGGTATAATATATGTCAAAAATTACAAAAGATTGTTTCTTCTCCGTCACATAATTTAAGGTTTCTTCATTACTAA